GCTGGGATCAATAAAACAAGGGCAGTACCACCCTGGGCGGGTGTGTAGAAAATGTCGTTCGGCCGCCTCCTCTGACCCAAGGCAGCCCTCCTACAGGTGAGGTCCCAGGGCTGTCCCTAAGCCAGAATTCTAAGTAAGCAAGCAGGCTGGGTCTCAGCAGACCTCAGGAGACACTCTGGAGAATTTACCACGCCTAGAATCTCTTTGCACCTGGCTGCTCAGGCACCACCACCACCCCAAGTACTGCTGGCCTGTGGTGCTGTCCCTTGGGCAATGCCAGGAAGGAATGGGGTGGAAGCGCCAGTTCCTGACCATGGTGCCCTCAGCTCCCCACCAAGACAAAGCGCAAAGACCAGGGCTCCTTTGTTTCCGGCCACACCCAGGGACACAGCCTGATTGCTGGGCCCAGCATCTTCTCGCAGCTCAGCCTCAGCAGTTAACCCTTCCTAGGCCGCTGCAGCCCTTGTGCCCATTAGGTTATTTTTAGCTGCGATGAGGGGCGGGAGCCGTGCCTCCATCATGGCGCTGTCTCCAGGTCCGGACTTCCACCCATCAGCGAGGGCGGGGAGTAGGGAGCGGCCTTCATCTTTTTCCTTCCTCTGGCTTCGAGGTGCAAGGGCCTGATGGTGCAGGGGCCGCGCGCGCCAGACTCAGCTCACCCTCCCTATTCCAGCGCTAGGGACTAGGTTCGGACCCCGCGCCCCTCCCTCTTTTGTTCAGATCCGTGCCACGCCATCCCCGGCACATCCCGAAGGGGGAGGGGGCTGCACGCCCGCGGGGAGAGGGACCCGAGGCTCCAGCCCCGCCCCATCATGCGGGGCTCCCCCCTCATTGTCCCTAGAGGCTGGGGGGAGGGGGCAGCCACGGCGAGACCGGCCCCGCCCCACCCGCGGCGACGCAGGAAGCCTCGGGGGTGCCCCTGTGGTCCCCCCACCCCGTGGATGTGGACCCTGACGGCGACCACCGCCACGCCACAAAGAACCGTAGCGGGGTGGGGCGGGGGCCGCTTACCGTGATGTGCGGGATGCTCTTCTTGCCCTGGTAAGACATGGTCCCTCTGGTGCCCTCGGCCCAGACGCTGGACCTGCCGGCTGGGTGACTTTCTGTCGGGCTCACTGTCGGTCCCGCTCCCCGCGGGCGCGGTGACAAAGGCCCGGGAAGGATGGAGAGAGGGACGGAGGCTCAGCGCCCGCGGCTGCCCGGCTGCTCGGCCCGCCGCCGCCACTCCCGCTGCCTGCACCGCCCGGCTCGGCGAGGAGGGCGGGAGGAGGAGGGAGAGGCAGGGCGGGAGGAGGGGGCTGCAGACAGACAGCTCCTCCCGGCGGCGGCAGCCGAGCCCTATTCGCCCCTCTCGGCTCGAACCAGGAAGCGCTTCCCTTCCGATCCCCCTACTCCGCCCCTCCCCTCATCCGCCCAGCCCCGCCGACCCCCGCCCGACGCTCGCGCCCTCGCCTGCGCCCCGGCCTCGCTCCCGCGAATGGGAAGTCTGCTTTTCAGGGCTCTTGTAAAAGCAAGAAACGGCCATCAGCGGCGCAGACAGAGCCCGCGGGCAGCGCCACAGGTGTGCAGTGTCGCATCCATCGGTCTCGCCGGAACCTCCGCACGGGGAGGGAGTGTGGGCCGGGTGTCAGCACCTGCCAAGCAACCGGGGGCATCCTTGGCCCTCCAGGATCGCGCCCAGCGACCGCCCCTGCTCCGGCTACTCCTCCCTCCCGCGGCCTCCGTTTGTCCAGTCCCCGCGCCACTCTGCATGGACCAAGCCCTGTTTCATCTCCACCTCCAACCCTTCATTCACACAATACCTTCTCTTTGAATATCCCACCCCAGATTAAAAAAAAAAAAGTTGCTCATTTTTCCAGACGCATCTCCAATGCCTTTTCCTCCCAAAAGAAAGCCTTTCTCGCTACCCTTCCCACTCCCATCCTCAAAACAGCCTTCCCAGACGTAAGGCAGAGGGAATGCAGCGGGAGGAGAGAGACAAGGCCCCAATTCATGGCTGACCTGCTTGGCTCCCAACAGAGGCTCTCTCACTACACAACAGGCCGGGCATTGTGTCCACTGATCACCCACAGACTTGCTTATCGGACAGTGAGTGCTTGGAGGACTGGGCCATTGGCACCAAGGTTTCTATGGCTCTGGGGGAGAGGAGAAGGGACGCTCCTGCCTCCTCAGCTGAGTGTCAGGCAACCCAGGGGCCCCATGATCCAGATGTTGCCCTGGAAGAGATGGGCAGAAAACTAGGACACAGCTCGGTGAACTTCTTAATGACAGAGGAGAAAGGAGGGGAGCAAGCCCTGACAGCACTGGGCAGGTGGCCCAAGCCACCAGACAGAATAAGCAACCTTCTGTCACTGCTCATTTTCTGTCTGCAAAATCCAAACGCGAACGTCGCCTGGAGAGAGGATGGACTAGGCTTGTGTGCACCCTTAAGTACGCTGTGGGACCTGGAGTCCTGACCTCCAGCATCACTGAGGTCAGTTTCCTAGTCCTCAACAGGGGACCAAATGGAGGTGGAGTTGTAGGTTCACAGAGAACAAGTTTAGTAATCCAGGAACATCGGGCCATAATTTTCTCATTTTGCAGATGGGAAGCGGAGACTTACAGAGGTAAAATTATGTGCCTCAGGTGCAAAACGCAGTAGTTGCAGCGGAACAACGTCTGGAAGCCAGGTTCCCACACAGGCGGTGTAGGTGTCCCTACACTCATTCGTTCACCCCGCCTTTGAGCTAGGTTCTAAGTACTCATTAATGACCGGAAACTGCGGTGGGACGTTCTCCTTCCTTCTGACTCCTACATTCCCTTCTTCGATGCTAAGTCCTAGGTTCCAGCACCCGGGTATTCCCTGGGGTCATTCCAGAGATCTGGGTAGGAAAGCCGCAGAGACCGGAAAGGACCACGTGCGAGTCAGGGGGAGGAGCTCCCGCCAGCGACTGGCCAAACAGATCGCTGCTCCTAAGCAGACTTCGCCTGTACAAAGCACCGCAGCCGCTAGGCCTCTGGCAGCAGCAAGCGTTGCGCATGCGTCGCAGAACCCCCTCCTCCCTCCCAGGAAACAGCCTTGTGGGCTGGGGAGGGGTGAGAGCACCCGCAGCAAGGCGCAGGAGCGGCGAGGCCCGCCCCGGAATCCCAACCCCGTGGCCGCTGGGTCTGCAGAAAGTAAAATCCTTCCTCCCGGGGAATGCGAGCCCCTCCACTCCAGTCCACCCCTTCTGTGCGCACAAGCGCCGCCTTTTGTCCAGTCCCTAAGAAGCCATTGAGAAAGGGCAGAGAGGACAGGAGTGGGGAGAGGTGCAGGAAAGGTGAAGCGAACAGCGTCCCTGAGCGCCTAGGCGCGGCTGCCGGGCCGGCTCTGGCAGAGCCTGAGGGCAAAGATGGCATGGGTGACGCTCATGGCCGCTGCTTTGGCAGGGACGCGCCTCCGGACAGCTCCAGTCGGTGCACAAAGCGCTCTTGCCTCCCTCATACTCCGTACGTCTTGGGGGAGGCCGAGAGAAAACTGCTACCCCCTAGTCATAGACGGAGACGCTGAGATGCAAGAGGGTGAAACGCCTTGGCTGGGTCCCTGGCGCTGCGGCCCGCGGCCCTCAAAGCACCAATCGAGCTGGGGAACCTGGATCCCAAGCGAGGTCAAACCACCATGGAAGGGGGTTGGGAGGAAAGATAAAGAGGGGGTGGGAAAGAGCAGACTGGACTCTCGTCATCTCCCTCCCCTCTCCTACCCATCTCCCCGACACACACTCACCCTCCCTTAGACCTCCCCCTCCAAGAGCCCGGATTCAGGACCGCGGAGAGCTCCAGAGCTGCCAAAAGAGCCACCTGCAAGGGACTGGGCACCAGCAGAAGGCTGAACCAATTCCTCCTTCGCCTCCAGGAAGCCCTCCCTGATTTCCATCCGGATCAAGCTGTCTCCCTCTGGGTTCACTTTATGTTTCTCATGGCGTTTAAGGAGGGTGCGGAGGTGAGTTAAAATGAAAATGATAATAAAACTCAACAGTGAACATTTATTGAATGCTCACTACCTACTGGCATTAACTCTTAATCTTCACAATGAATCTGTCGCTTATCCCAGCCTGGGAACTTCTGGAAAGAGAAGCCGAGATGCCCAGCCAGCCGGGGACCCAGTAGCGCTCAGGCATGCAGTTCTGGACTGGCCCTCACATGCTCCAACTTCCGTCTCCCAAGCACATGGCTCTGACCTCACCCATCTACCTACCCATCTTCCCCCAGTTCCCTGGCGACCGCCAGCTCAGGGGAGAAGATCCATAAGGCCCAAGCCCTGGAGTTGCCTTTCTCTGATGCCCTCACACACACACCCCACATACAGAGGAATGAAAAGCTCCAAGTCCAGGAGGCTAGAGACCCCGGTTCAAATCCCAGCTCTCCCTCCAGCTTGCTCCATGAGGTGGGCACAGCGGTGTGGGACTCAGGAGTAACATTTGAACATGTCGCTTGCAGGTCGGGGTTCTACCTGCCTGACAAATCCTTAACCAAATCCTTCCCAGATACACTCAGAAAAGGTTCCTCTACCCTGCTGCTGTGTAACCAGGACGATTCCCGGACCTCTCCGGACCTGAGCACAGAGTAAGTGCTCTAGAATTACCGAGTGACTAGATGGACATATGGACACGGGCCAGCCTTCTTCTCATAGGACAGAGAATGAGTAGCCCTGGGTTAAATTCATCCCGGACGTGCCTTGGCGTCTTAGGGCTCCATGCGGCAGCTTTAACCAACTTACTTCCCCTCTCAGAGCCTCTCCCTCCCTTTCTGCAGAAGACTGGACCTCGGATGTCCCTTAGGAGTCCACGGACTATGCTGGGCAGCCCTGGTCCAGTCTCACGACCACTCTGAACCTCCTGAATGATGAGGTGGGGGAGGGGCCGTTCCGTAGCTCTCCCCGTCCAAGTGGCAGCGGCCCCAGCACTTGGGGCCAGGGCACTACCTTCAGGTGGTCCCCAAGGGCCCCGCCCCCCATGTCCGGCCCACGCGCGCCCCGAGGGTACCTGGCCATTGTCCCGGCCGAGTGGCAGGTCTCGGGGCGCAGGGCAGCGAATGTGCAGCGCAGGCGGTCTCTCGTCGCGCTCGCAGGGTGAGCTGACGGCCGAACCCGAGGGCTCGCTCACGTCGCTGGCCGTGTCCTCGCTGCCGCCGGGCCCCGGCAGGCCCACGGCGTCGGGCCGGCCAGCACTGCGCGGCGTGCGCGCCGAGCCGCGGCGGCCCACGCTGTACGCGTCGAAGTCGATGGTCTTGTTCTCGTAGGCGCCCTCCACCGCGGCGAACATGCCGCCGTACTTCTGGCGCGGGGTCTGCGCCGCGCTGCCCGGCCGCGCCAGGTACACGGGCAGGTCGTCCTCCGTGTTCCACGCGCGCCGCCGGTCCGCCATACCGCTCCAAGGCCGGCCGCCCGCCCGCCGCCCTCGCCACAACCGTTCGCCGCGCTCCGCGCCTGGGTGCGGGCCCGAGGCGGCCCCGGCGCGACTGCGGCCCGGGGAGGGAGGGGCGGGGCGGGGCGGGGCGTGGGGAGGGGCGGGGAGTGGGGCGGGGCCGGGGCGGGGCCTCCGGGCGGCTGCTGGCCAAAGCCACCGCCAGCTACAAAGGACAGGGAGGCGGGACCGCGGCTGTAGTGGGGAGGGATGGTGACGTGCAGGAGCCGCAGCGCGGAGGGCGGGCAGCCGAACCGCAGTGCCCTGAACCGACCCCCACTCCCCGCCCCCAGGCGGAGCGCAGCGCGCGAGCGGAGCGAGGTGGGAGCCGCGTGCACACACACACACACACACACACACACACGCATACACACACACACACAGGTTTGTACCGCACACCAGTTACACCTAACCTGACGGATGCACCAACATGCAAGTACATACACACACGCCCACTACAGACACACACAGGCGCCTCCATGCACACCGTAGACAGTTTTACCCACACAGACATATATGCTTGTACACATTCCGAGTAAATCACACACACACAAACCCACCAGACACACACACACACACCAGGAATTCTCATTGGAGGATCCAGGCATTCACATCACAACAAAATTAACTGCACAACCCAAGAAACAGACACATTGGAAACACATTCATTCACTCAGTACTACTATGTTGGTCACTTAATGGTCCATGGGCGTAGGCACTGGGGACAGGGCTCTGAACAAAACGAACTCCATGCCCTCCGGAGCTGACCTTCTATGGAGGAAGGACCCCAGCCCTGGAAGGATGTATTTTGCAGAGCTCAGGGCCAGAGGATAGTGACCAGGCAAGAAGGAATTATGGGTAGCTTACTCCAGGGACATGCTAGACAAAGACACTCTTGCACCTTAGCCAGAGAGTCACACATGTACTGGATGTACACCAGTGACGGCATATGACAAAGATTTTCCACACCAGTACCAAAGGCAAACTCACACTGGTGCCCGTACACTCCAGAAAGGACTCCCACACACATCCACACCAAAAACAAGCAAGTCAGAGCTTAAATAGAGATGCTCCAGAGACAAACACAAAGAGATGGATCACCACACACACGCACCTGGCAGTCGCCCAGACAGACAAATGCCCCCATCTAGAGGCACCTCCCACATCCTGGGCCCAGCCAGCCCATGCTGTGCCTGTAGCCTGCAGCCTGGAGGTCCCAAGGTTCCTCTGACTAGAGCCACGGGGGAGGGCATAGGGACGTGGGGTCACTCTGCTGGGTCTCCATTTGCCCTTCTCAGAGGCCAGGTGTCAATATGTCTCTTCTGGACACAGTCCCTCATTTCTCCATGTTTTACCAGCAGAAGGTCATGCGAGTCCCCAGGGATCCAACTGTCCCAGCTGCACCTTCTGGACAGGAGAATCGCCAGCTGCCGACCCCTCCTCTAGGGAGTCCGGATATGCAAAATCAAAACTGGGAGTGGAGTGCAGTGGGGGCCCTAGTGCCTGGCCCAGCATTCCTTCCCCCCAGTCTCTCCCCCTCCCCCCACCACATACACTGTGCTGGGAGCTGTCCTTTCAGCACCCAAAATCGCATTGCCACTTTCTGAGAGCCCAAGACAGCCGGGTACACATTCTTGTGTCTGTGACTGTTGAGACCCATTCTCATAGACTGAAGACTCTGGGGACATCGGATCCATGGCTTCAGCTGACACCTCCCTGCATTTACTTTCAACCCCAGAGCAAGCCAGTCTGTGTCCTTTCACTGTGGAGTTGAAGAAAGACGGTGGGCAAAGCAGCTGCCCAAAGCCTCAGTCTCAGGGCTGCTCAGCTAGGCTGGGACCTCAAACTATTCTTGGGCATTTAGCAAGTCTTTCCCCTCCCCCGTTATGCTCTAGAGAGACTGGAGTTGGGAACACAGATGTGTATCTATCAAGCCCCTGCCTTCAAGAAGTGTATACTGTAGTAGACAAGGGAGAGCTGAGTACAACTAGGAGCAGAAGTGTCCCACCTCTGGGGTCCACTGCCTTCTACCCGCCCACCACAGCCCACCCTCCTCTTGTGCCCACACCCTGTAAGTTTTCAAGTTTTCATTGAAAACTCTGTCCTGTGAAATGTTATTTTCAGCACATTCCAGGCATTGAAAGTTTGTGCTGCAGACCACAGGAACTTCTAAAGTTCCACAAATATCCACAGTGAAAAAATCCAAACAAATGTCAGGGAGTCCAAGAACCTGAGTTGTACAGAACTTTTGAGGTCAATCCATGCTTGACTCTACCCTCAACATCTTGGGGAGAGATGGGCTTTGCTCATGGTGATGGGGACCTTACTGCTCCTTAAGGAGAAAAAGAAAACTTCCATTGTGAGAAAGGGCTGGACAGTTGTCAAGACTAGAGGAAGTGATACAGGAAGAAGCAAGAAAGGATAGTAGTGACCCTGCTGCTTACCTATAGTCTCCTGGTCAGGAGCCACTGAAGGCACTTTTCAGAGAGTAACTCGTTTTCCCCACAACCCATGGGGCACCAGTTTTAGCCTTGTTTTACAGATTGGGAAACAAACTCAGAGAAAAACATTTTGCCTAGGGTCACTGATGGCAAATGAGACTGTTAGGATTTTCAGACCATAATTTGGTACATACCACTCCCCTATTCTTCCCCCAAGAAGCAGCCTGACTGAGGTGGTCCCCTGTTGCAAAGGAAGAGAATCTGGTACAGAAATCTAGACTTCAGGCTTCAAATCTTGCAGTCTGCACAACCTTGGGCAGCTAATCAGTCAACGTTCATCCAGCACACGTTTGGGACTCCCACTGAGTGTCTCCTCCATCCCCTGCAGAGGAAGAGGCTTAGAGGCTCACAGAGTGCTCATCATACTTGTGGGTTTGCACACATGGTTCATTCTCCACAAATTATGTTCTGCCTAACGCACTGAAGGCTCCATCAGTGCCACCTCCACCTTCAGGCTGGTATGCTAAGGGTCAGACCTTAAGTCCACTCTCAAGTTCACCCTGAGAAGTGGCTGCACTGGAATTCCGACTCAGGTTTGGTGGAGTCCTTCCATCAACACCTCCTCCTCTCAAAGCCAGTAACACAAGCCTAGCAGAGAAAGGGAGGCAGAAAGCAAAGGCTGGGTATAAGGTAGGAAATGCACCCTCCCAGGTGTGCAGGGATTCCCAAGGGAACCATGTCTGGCAGAGACCCACAGGGGAAGCCAGGACTCTTGAGCCATTCCATCCTGATGGCAGCTATGACCTCCCCCACCCCGTCCTCTTGGTCCTCCAGGGAAGAAGTTATCATAAATGAATTCTACTGTGACCTTGGATGAGAGCCAACCTTGAGGTCATCTTCTCAGACCCTGAAGCCTTCCAGAGTGACAGCAGAGAACAGAGAGGGACATAGCAGACGTTGGCAGGGAGAGGACAAGAGAGGCCAGCTTCACTCCCGTGAGCATTAAACAAACAAACAAAAAAGAGTTTTTAAAGCATAAAATGTAAAATGAATACTTTCAGAAAGTGAGGAAAATGGAATTGTTTCTTGTCAGATGTATACTACTCTTATTTCTTCTTGAAGCAAGAAATGAATTATTGTGCTCATTACAGATTACCTTGAAGGAGGTAAGCAGGCTGCTTAAAATTATATGGCCAACAAATGAGAGAGCCAAGCCAGTTTGATTCTAAAACATCTGCATTTTCTGCTGTCCTCAGTCAGTACACAGGGGACTGTGACAGGCAGAGTACTGGTCCTCAACCATGTCCACATAACCCTAGGAACCTATGCATGTTAATTCACATGACAAATGAGAACTTTTGAGTGTGCTTAAAGATCTCTAGATAGGGAGGTTATACTGGATTAGAGGTAGGACATTGTCTGGGTAGGACCAGTGGCATGGCATGGAAGAGGGAGGCAGGAGGGTCAGAGAGAAAAGGCAAAGTGACAGTGGAAGCAGAGGTCAAAGTTAGAGATTTGAAGATGCTACAATGCTTGCTTTGAAGATGAAGGACGGGGCCACAAGCCAAAGAACAAAGGTGACTCCTGGAAGTGGGAAAAGGCAAGGAAATGGGTTCTCTCCTGGAGTCTCCAAGAGAAGCCCACCCTGGCAAAATCTTGCTTTTAGTCCAGTGAGACCATTTCAGACCTCAGCGACTGTAAGATAATGGATGTGTGTTGTTTTGGGCACTAGGAAATTAACATAGGAATATCATGAATCATAAAGGAAACCACTTCATTATTTGTGCAGTGGATTGACTAATGAGAACATAATTTATTCCCCATCTGAAACAAGAGTCCTGGATTCATTGCCTTTTTTGTATTATGTCAGGGCTGCCAACACTTTGCAATGAGCCAATAATCTATTATTCATTCAAAAGCAAGGGAAAACCTCTAATTGTGAAAAAGCATACGTTTTAATGTACAAAATTACACAAAGTATACATTTAGCTAACATAGAAAAATACATCTCGGTAACAAGAGAAAATCCTGGCCTATTTCACACAGACAGAATAAATCCTGGTGGAGGCTGAGCCCGAGGTACACAGGTTGGGACTCTGTCAAGCAGCTGTGTTCATTTCACCATGAGCAGGGATTGAGGCACAGCCCACTGACCCACTACCCAAAAGGAAGGGGGTCTCCCATATGAATCAGTGAGCCTCACTGGGGAGGCCAAAAATTCTGCATTTATAGGAGTCTTTTTCAATCTGTACAACAGCAAGGGGTAACACGCCTGTGCATTTGGGACTCAGTGGGAAGATATGATTTCTAAACCATTCATGGCTGTCCTGTGATCTCTGCCCAGGATTCAACCTGGAAGGTGTGAGGAGACCACAGAGGCTCTGCAAAAATGAACTTTCAAGCCTTATCCATGGCCTTTCAGGTGGCACCCACACCCTTCCCTGCCTGGCCATCAAAAGCTCGTCATGCAACCCTGCACTTCAAAAATGATACTTTTTAAAGTCTCCAGCTCAGGGTGGTGGCATACACCCCAGTATCTGCATGGAGCCTATTTTCAGAGGGGTGGAGGGCGTTCCGACATCCACTCACACATTCGGGTGGCTTTGAAA